TCCTAGTAGTAAGGCCAGGAGCCCCTAGTAGCGTCCTCTTGCTCCTAGTAGCGATGCCCTTTACCCATTTACCGAATTTTCCAAATTTACCTTTGCCCTGACATGTGTAACCTCATAGGCTGAACGCGCGCAGGGAGCCGGCATAGGCTAACGGCTTAGGGTCTACCTCTGCATTGGGACCAGGATCTCTCGGAACAGTGGGATCGTTGTCAGAGCTCGCATCGGCATGGCATGGCGGGGGATGCGAGACTGGCTGCTCAGCCGTCTTGAGATAAGAAGCTTGACACCGCAAAAGGGGCGACCTAAGAAACTTATCACATACGAAGACAGCCGGAGACACTGCAAAGAGGCGATCCAAACGACCCAGCAAAACTGAAGACAAGCGGAGAAAACTCCATGACTAGCAGACTAGCAAAGCACACTGACAGACATTTGCGGCCCCTCTCAAGATGATATCCGTTGTTGCGACATCGCTTTTTACGAGAGACATGCGGCATGAATCAGGAACCATTGCCCGATATGTGAGGTTGCGGCGCAGGTGTTGGTCATTATGGGTGCTTTAAACTCATTATCGAACAAGTTTGAGCAAAACACAATGTATATACAGAACAGAAAATAAACATAATTATATATACTTACATGCGTGTATATATACATATGTATATATATATACATACACATGCATATTTATACACCTCGATGCGCCAGACAGTTCATATATATATATATATTTGTTTAAGTCACAGGTGCCACCTGAATCTGACATGGAGGGTCAGAAAACTTTGAGTTTCACCAGTCAGGATACATATTATACATATTAAGCAGGCCCAAGACAGGATCAAGGCTGTGCTTGGCTTAGGCAGTGGGTGCAAAGCCGGTCACATTTCACAGGCAAGCTAGGCACTTAGAATGCAGACTATTGGAAGACTAAGCTGTTGTGATGCCTTAAGATGCTTTCAGGTGCTCTCATTGCTAAGCAACCCTTCTTTGCTTGAGGCCAGCAGATCACTATTCTGTAATTAATGTGTATTTCACAAGTGCAGTTCCTGCTTCTTTTCATGATGTCCAGTTGCTATAACAACTGACCTGGTCGTTTGACAGCTATTGTAGCTTGGCCGGAAGCTTGGAAGCTGCTCAAAAGGCCCCACGAAGCAATGGCAGGCACCGGCGAGATCGCCAATCCGCTGGGAGTGATTGATGAGCTCTTTGCACATGCTGCGAGTTGTGCTACCCTTCAAAACAAGCTACCTCCAAATCAGTGGAACGAAAAGGCACACTTCGCCCAGAAATTGCAGCTGGCAGATGAAGAGAACTTTGCAAAGGTGCCTTGCTTGAACGACGTGGATCTTGTGGAGAACATCCCACCCTTTAGCTTGGTACGATATAGGTGCTTGGTTCAAGATGTCTTTGAGCCCGAGCTTTACTCAATGTTTTTCATGGAACGAGACGACGATGCATCTCCACCTCGTTTAGTGACAACGAAGTACCGAGAACCCTATCCGAACCAAAAAGGCAAAGTCTTGCAGGATGTGGGCAGAGGTGGTTTGAGTACAAGAGGAGCCTACTACTGTGTGCCACTTCCTGGAGAGTCTGAGTGGTCGAGATTGGCTACAGTCAACTCCAGTGCAAAACTTCAATCCCCACGGGTGCCTACTGGAAAGCGATCCAGAGATGATGATGTTGACATGGAAAGTGCACCTGAAAGAAGTTCTACTAGGCCACAAAAGCCCAAGACAGTCCAGGTCCAAATGGTGCCAGAGCCAAAAACACGACCGAACTCAGACTCCTTTGGCTTGAACTTTCCTCTTCCATGGGAAGCAAATCAGAAGAGCAGCGCTTGCATTGTCAAGCTATACGATGAGGATGCCGAGTCTTTGAAGCTTTGCGAGAGTATAGAGATCTTGGGAATTCTTTGCGTAGACCCTTCGATGGCAAACCTGGGAGAGGATGCACAAGCTTGGCCGTTCCCAGATGCCAGAAGCCCATCAACAGCGTTGGTCCCTCGATTACATGGGCTTTTGGTGAGGAGGCTGCCATTTTATCATCCGTTGTTCCCCTTTACACCTGATTGGCTTTCAGAAGCACGCCTGGCTTCTGCATACCAAAGACGCTTGGCTGCGCCAGGTGCTGTGGCTGCCGCCCGAAGTGTGGCCATTAGATCTTTGCAGCAGGCCTTGGGCGATCCAGTAGCTGCTGAATATCTCTTGGCGCTCTTGGCGACACGTGTTTATGGCCGTGCAAATGGCACTGCCTTGGGACAATGGTCTTTAAATCTGAGCCATTGGGGGCAGTCCGGGAAGTGTCAGTCAGTGACAACGCTGTTCGAGGCAATCTCAAATCTTGTGCCTTTGGCTGCCCATTTGCAGCTTACTACAGAGACCTTGAGCTCTGGTCGATGGAAGCCAAGAAAGGACTTTGATGCTAACCGGCTTCTTGCTGGTAGATTGCAGCTTGCACCAGGCACCCTCCTTTTGCTGGATGAGTGCAACATGGAAGCTGGACACTTGAATGACAACGCCGTCCGTTCGTTACAAGCTCTTTCAACCTTGGTATCAGAGCAAATGCTGCAATGTGACTTCAACACCTATGACATTCAGATTCCGTTGGAAGTGAACAGCTTGTTTGTCTCCAAAGGTGTGTCGATCCTGAAGATTGCAGACCTTGTTCTCCCCATGCGACCACGGGTTGTTGAGGTGAGTGAATGTGATACCGGGCTGGATGCAGCCAGGTTTCTTCTGGGGCTAATCACTCGCCACACAAGGCCTTTCCGTATGCCAGAGCAGGTCGAGGCAGTCTTTTGCGAAGACTTTGCTCAGATGCGGCAGGAATTTCAGGAAATTGGACAACGAACGGTCCATGTTTGGAGATCGCTGGCACGAGCGATTTGCTTCACCCATGGTGAGGAAGAGTGTACCATTGAGCGTTGGCGCTCGATCTTGTCACTGGAGAGAGAGCGCTTGAGACGCTGCGCAGAAGCAGGCGCCCTCCAAGGTTGAGGCTGGCGTACAGAGTATTTCCTTGCAACTGCAAACGGGGCAGTGCAAATCAGATTGCGGATTGACATCTCTGAGCAAAAATGCAATTGCACCAACGTTTAGAGTTTCTTTCATTTCTTGTCAATTCAGCATTGAGAAGTGCTCATGTGAGGCACTCTTTGCAGATAAGACATGATCATGAGCTGAAATCATGCTTGCCTGGGTGAAGGAACCGGCAGTGGCATCACTCTACCCACCTGACGTGATTTCCCGAGCAAAGGACATTCTGCAAGTGTGTGGGCATGCATGAAGAGTGGATTTGAAGGTTAAAGCAAGTTGTCAAACGCTTTGATAGGAGTATGTTGGAAAGAATCCAAAGTTTGGTGCCTATTCGCACTCGAAAGGGATCCCGTTTTTCAGGCCAAGTGGGTGACACTTTTGACCATTTTAGCCACGAAGCCTTGGAGCCTTGCAGGCAGAAAGTGGCTGAATACATCAATCGTAGAGATGGGGCTTTGGTTCCAGCTGCAGATCCAGAGGACAGATGTGCTTGTTCGATGTTCTTTCAGCTTTTGATTTCTCTTTTTTTTAGCCCGCCCTTACTTATTTAAGTAGGCGCCTACTTAAGTAAGGAAGGGAGAAGTAAGCTCCTAGCTCCTAGCTCCGAGTTATATAGCTTCTGCGACGCAGGATAGCTAACGCACAAATGATTTGGTTCCTAGATTTTTAGGGAAACTTAATGTTCACTTGCAGGATATCTACTTGACTGATGGTGCTTCAGCTGGCGTGAAGACGGTTTTAGAGGCCACTAGGCCGCCAGAGTTTGAGGCAGCAAAAAAAGAGCCAGTGCAGTCTGAGGATGAATGCTGAGGTCATGATTGGCAGCCCTCTCGATGGAGTTCTCATCCCAATTCCTCAGTACCCACTATACTCTGTCTTTCCCTTAACGCATTGATTGCCACAGATAGGTGATAGATGCCTGAATGTTACGAAAGTAACAGTGCACGCCTTGAGGCAGCAATAACTCGCTTGGGTGGTACCTTCATAGGATACGAGTTGATGGAGGATTACACTTCTGGAAAAGGCCAGGATCGTGGGCACAGCTGTCATGGCAAAGACAAGTTCTTCCGCAGGATGGGCCATTGATGTTGATCTTATTCAGAAGAAGATTGAGGACACCGTTCTACAATAAGTCACAGGTGTGTGTCAAGCTTCAGAGGTCACATAAACGATGATGAAATCTTGCATTTCTATTGTGCTACGGCAGGCTTGGTGTAGCGCATATTCGTTTGTGTCAACTAGCATCGCTTCGCGCCCTGGCCGAAATCTGTCGAGCCTCCAACGGGCTCCCCGTGCTTTCCAGCAGGGACTGAGTCACAGCCCGGCCGCGAGATCACCTAGCTCGGCACGCAGTTCCTTCGAATGTGAATGCAACATCTGCATCAGGTTGAAGCCTGTTGGCTTCCCGCCAGGAAGCGTCGATCACTTGCATTTCGCTGCAATGTCTAGCGCGTCCATTGCAAGAAAAATTCAATTGGAGGATCCACCTCCAGTTTAGATTCTCTCAGAGCCGTTTTGGGTCAATCTTGAGCCAAAATGTGCCCCATTCGATTCGATCGAATCTTACCTGCTATTTAAATTTTCAGAAGGGGTGGCCATGGGGCCTGGGTTTTGGTTTTCCATAAATTTCCATAAATATTAGGTAAATGCATCAGCGCCACAATCAAAACCAGAAAACAATCATAAATATGCATAAAGGATCAAAAACACATAAGAAAACACAAAAAAACTTAGGAAAGCAAAAAACAAAAAAACAATTCTCAGAGACTCTTGTTTAGACCCCTCAAAATCAAAAAACAAAAAACAAAAAAACTTGAGAAAACACAAAAAACCAAAAAACAATTCTCAAAGACTCTTGTAGCTCAAGCGTTTTACATCTTATTCTGGCAAACTTCTAATTTTGATTCCAATTCCAATTCCTTTCTACTTCAACTCTCATCTAATTTCAATTAGGCTATAGTTATAGTTCAATACAAGTTTAGTTAAAATTCGGTTTTAATTCAGTTCTATCTTGGGCTCTAACTCAAGTCCAATTTAATTCTACCTAATTCTATTCTAGCTCTAGTCTATTTAGTTTAAGAAAACACATGCTACAAAACCCTGTGTTTTACAGTATTTTTTGCCCTGGAAGTGCTGGGAACAAGACAAAAACTCTTTTTTGGAGTACATAGGTAGATTTATTTATTGACAGTAATCACTGGAGATAATATAGACATATTAAACATGTTTTATGTACAAGCTTCTAATTCAAGCGCTTCCCTCTAGATCTCTGGGGGTGATCATTCCTACAATAAAACTATATATAAGCTCTCATTTCAAAAGCTTTCCTCTGGATCTCTGGAAATGGTCATGTCAATTTAAACATGCTATATATCAATAAATAAGTCTTTCTTTCAAGAGCTTTCCTTTCATGAAAACACACACACACACATATATATATATGGGATATCTACTTTCCCAGAGATCCTGAGGAAAGCTTTGAAAATGCAAGCTCTTGCCCGCAGAAATCTAGAAGAAAGCTTTTAACATACAAGGTTTCTATATAGTTGTTTAAATCAAAACATGATTATCTGCAGAGATCTATAGAGAATCCCTTTATAACATAAAAGCGTCTATATACAATCTTTCCAAATCTAAACATAACTATACAACAACTTTTATGGCCTGCTTCTTTTCTAATTATCTTGTTCAAAACCATCTGAATGACTGATTGCTGCTTCCAAAACAATCAAATTACCCTGACTCAGGAATACATAATATATTTGTTCATATAGAGTGAAAGCAAGAATAGATATGTGTGTTTATATGGAGAGGCGCTGCCACTGAAGCATTTACCTAAAATTTTGGGAAAAACCAAAACCCAGGCCCCATGACCACCCGCTCTCTAAATTTTACACGACGGTGCGCTGCTATGGCTGGCAACGTACGAGGGAAGCACCCTTAGCGGCTGGCTTCCACACCTCTTCTGAAAGTTGCGTTTAACGTTTAGGCACTATTTCTGGCTTCCGAGGGTTTCCCCAGTCATTCGGCCCCGCTCCTTTTCCAATCCGGGCTTAAATTATGTTTTCCGGTGTGTCTATGTCAGAAAAATTACTGACATGGTGTCTCACCCACCCAGAATAATTGATAAATTGCTGCCTGGGGTGCCTAAAATCTACTAAATTAAGGCGCGACCCAAAAGTTTTGCATTGGGGAACAGCTGTGGAGCTTCGCGCGCGGATGCGTCCTTTAGCTTTGGTCCCAGCCGCGTTGGGCCCTATAGCCGGAGCAAGGTTGCAAGCCCCAATAGACCGCTGCTATATAGACCGCCGCTTCGCTGGCCATCGAGAAAGCATGTAGGCTGATGTTTGAGATACGTATTGCGTGTCCAACGGAACTTGAGTTTTGTTGCCCTATAGCAGGACGACCGGCAAGGGTTCCGAAGGTTTTCCGCTCAGCGCCCGATCTTTTCGTTGTTGGCTTAGAGCGCGGCAACCGCAAAGCAGCTGACGAATTCAGGAATAAATCTTGCCTGCGGTTAAACCAAAACCTTGGGACGATCAGAGAAGGTTGACCTAGACCTAGGGACCTAGAGCGTGTAGGGCAGTTGGCGCATATCCCCGCATTCCATCCAGGCTCGATGCGGTTCGAGCGGGTGCGATCGACGATGTATGTGATCTCGAATCTCGATCCCGTGAGGGGGGATCACAATCGATTCTCACGCCACTGATGGCAGTCAGATCAGGTATACAATCAACCATGGCACTTGGCGCAAAGCCTTTCCGTTCAAGAAGGGGGCTTGTGTTTTCAGTTGCGCACCAACTCTAGCCAACTGTAGGGCAGTCTTGGCGTAACATATTCGTTCAACTTTTAAGCAGATTGGACTCGATCGAATCAAATACGACGCCCAAAAAAAATATGTGTGTTTAAAGACAACTCGTCACGAACAAGGCTCTACCCCCAGACCCCCAGAGTTAAACGAGAACCCTTCGCTACGCATTCGGGAACAAACGGTGGTAAACCTACAATCCAGATACGTCCATGTCAGAAAGAATAAAAAGTGATAAATTTGCACCTTGAATTGGTGATACCGGGTCGCTGCGCCTTGCGGATTTGCGCGGCCTTGCTGGAAAGTGCGTTTGCGTGGCGCCGTGCCACTGAGCGCGAAACATGGTGGTGTAAACGCGGCGTGTCGCTGGTGAGCGGGATGATTGGGATCGTGTGATATGTTTGTTTCTAGTGTGTGGCAGAATTTGTGGCGGAATTCCGTGATGTCGCACCATGTGGATTTGCGCGGCCTTGGTGGAAAGTGCGTTTGCGATGCGCCGTGCCACTGGGGAGCGCGAAACATGCTGGTGTAAAGTGTAAACGCGGCTTGTTGCTGGTGAGCGACAAGAGTGTCCCACAAGAGTGTCCTAGAAGAGTGTCCCACAAGAGTGTCCCGTAAGAGTGTCCCACAAGACCACCAGAGTTTCCTACAAGAGTGTCCCACAAGAGTGCCCCACAAGAGTGTCCCAGAAGAGTGTCCTGTAAGAGTGACCCACAAGAGTGTCCTACAAGAGTGTCTCACAAGAGTGTCCCACAAGAGTGTCCGACAAGAGTGCCCATAAGCGTGTCCCACGAGTGCCCTACAAGAGTGTCCTACAAGAGTGCCCCACAAGAGTGCCCCCCAAAAGTGTCCAAAAGAGTTTCCTAGACTAGTGACCCACAAGAGCGTCCTACAAGAGTGTCCCGCAAGAGTGTCCTACAAGAGTGCCCCACAAGAGTTTCCTACGAGAGTGTCCCACAAGAGTGTTCCGTAAGAGTGACCCACAAGAGTG